CCAACTCCCGGTACCTCAGGCGGCTATGGCCGCCGGTAACCCAGTCGCCGCTGCTGCTGCTCCGCTTGCTGCTGCTGCGCTAACGCTGCGCTGCCCGCTCCTCGTTCCTGCGCTAAACATAGCGCTCCAACGGCACTCTGGTGCCGACCTTACCGCACCGTATCGTATACAGGTGGGTCGATCCCTCGAAGTGAGGCCGGACCGGTTCTATATACCGGTGGGGCAGAGGCCGGCCTCAATGCTGCGAGGCCTGGCCGTGCCCTGAACCGTCCAGATGGACGGTTCAGCCCCAACCGGCGGGCGGCAGCCTCAAGAGCGCCGCCAGGCCCAAACGGTAATGTCGTTTGGGCCTGCCCGTCAGGTCTGGTCCAAGGTGAGGCCTTTATGGCCTGTAGTACCCCAAGGTCGGGCCTTTCGGCCCTGATGTGTCCCTCTAGCCCTAAGTCGGGTCCGGTAGGACCCGTGTGGCATCGAAGATGTAACATGTAGTGTGGCATGCTGGGGCCTCAATGGCATGACACTGGGCCTGGGATGTCTTGACAATGTTGACATCATTTTCAACGGCTCCTCCGCCTCCTCTCTTGACACCTAACATTCCATAAGGAGTAGATGCTTGTGCCTGAGCATAATCTATTTTATCTAAGAACACATGCAAAGATGTTTGACCATATTTTCTGCATTCAGTCCGCCTCCTGGTCCTCTTTGGGCCCTACCGTCTCCGCCCGAACATAAAGCACATGCGTAATATTCGAGTTTTCAAAAAAATCAAAAATCCGAATAGAATGCATTTGTGTTGTATTCCAAAATGAGCGCTGTTCGAATAGAACACGTGCATTCACTTCGAATAGAAAGCAACCTATGTGTTGTATTTGTTTACAGCGCATATGCGTTATGCTCGGGGGAAGACGGTAGGATGGGGGCTGACAGACCATGTGAGGTGCTGTGAAAGCCCTGGGAGAGTGGATCAGACAGGCGTATGCATATTTCATCTGTTCTGAGCTCGTTTTTGTCCTGTTCCAGTTCTTTTTTCTTTCTTCTTTTTTTCTTTCTTCTTTTTTTCTTTTTCACGTTTTGTCTTAGTCCACATTGTGTCATTTGGTGTTTTCTTCGTACAGGTACAAGTTTGTCCTGTCTGCGCATACCATTTCACATTTTGGCCCAGCTTGTCTGTTTGTGGCTGGGCCTGTGTTTGTTAGTAGTAACCAGCTCAGCCGTTTGGTCCAGTCCCACTTGGCGATGCAGCGGGTAGACCTGGGTGAGTGGCGGAGGCCCACGCCACACGTTTTGGGGCCTGGTCACTGGGAGAGCGGCACACAGCCCCCCGTCTGAACTGCCAGATCGCAGATCGATCTGACCGTCTCTGACGGGCCAGCTGAGAAGCTTGAGGAAGTTGCACTTCCGCCCAGGACTACTTAGACAGGAGAGTCCAGCAGCTGGACCACGTAGTTTTCCAGTAGTGCACACCGCCAGGCTGCAGGACAGGTGGCTGTTAGGCCAGCTGGATTGTAGATCCTGTCGGAGAGAGGTAGCAGGCAGGAGTAGAGGGGAAGACGAAGGCTGAGGCATGAGGACTCATCCGGGGCCAACAAAAGGGCTTGCACGGCTGTCATAGCCAGGCGCAGTGGTGCACCTCCAGTACCTGCAAGGCTTCAGCAACTCGAGACTCCGCCTTCACGGGTCAGTATAATCTGAGAGAGAGAGAGAGAGAGAGAGAGAGAGAGAGAGAGAGAGAGAGAGAGAGAGAGAGAGAGAGAGAGAGAGAGAGAGAGAGGTTTAGAATTTACAGCATACAGATCTGTTTCTCATTGGTATATCCAAGAGTAGTACATTGGGGAGTTGTACGAGTTCTCTCTGATGTAGCCTTTCTACTCACACTAACAAGTAAAAGAAGTCCTAGTGTGAGTATGCCCTGACACCCAGAAAACTCCTTTCCATGAAATGTCCTCCCATGTGTATGCAGGGGTGGGTGGGTGCAACAGGGAAACCCTGCTTAATTCCTGTCCTCCCTGAGCGAGGGAGGGAGCGAGGGAGCGAGTGAGCGAGTGAGCGAGTGAGGGAGTGAGCGAGTGAGCAAGTGAGCGAGTGAGTGAGCGAGTGAGCGAGTGAGTGAGCGAGTGAGCGAGTGAGCGAGTGAGGGAGTGAGGGAGCAAGTGAGCGAGTGAGCGAGTGAGCGAGTGAGTGAGCGAGTGAGCGAGTGAGTGAGTGAGCAAGTGAGCGAGTGAGCGAGCGAGTGAGTGAGTGAGTGAGCGCGTGAGTGAGTGGCTGGTTGATTGATTTGCAAGGAATTGAGCTGCAACAACACAACAAGTCTCTGCAACAACACAACAAGTCTGAGGGTCATAGCTTTTGGCAAAGTCAAAATTTGATGGTCCAAAGTTGGTTCTGCAATCTCTGAAAAGACTCTCGAAATCCCTCAGGTTGGTCTACCTGGATTCAATCAAAACGAGGTGCCCAGGGCCTTCAGCAGTCAATTAAGCCCTAGGGGAATCAACAGTCAGGCCCAGCCCGTGTTTTTTTTTTTTTTTTTTTTTTTTTTTCAATAACGGTGACAATGCTCCAATCTATTTGTGGGAAGCAACACATGCTGGGAACCAGGCCAGCGTCCCTCATGAAAATACAGAGAACAAATCGAGGTACCGGGGCCATTACCCGACTTTGGCTGAGAGCAATCTGCAATAATCCACCCCCCATATGCTAGGTCGACGGCCACAGGCCGTCCCGACAGCCTAAGGCTGAGCAGCGGGCCTACCCTGAGGCTGAAGGGCCTCAGAAATGAGCAGCGGAGGCCCTGTGCCCGATAGTTGACTAAAGTCAACTGTACAGCGGCCAACGAGTCAAAGTCTGCATCGACCCAGCCCAGACCGCCGATCAGACACACACACTTGTTTGTATGCAGGTATCCAAACAGCATTCGGTCCAAGCGGAAGTCTGCAACTGTACGAGATATGACTCAATCGGAGCCTCCGTTGGTGTGAGACCAGAGGCAGGTCAACTTTGTCAACACTACTTTTGACCTTGCCTCCGGGAGTCAACATTCAGTCTTGCCGTGCTGACTTGACGCTGGCTGGACGCTGGCAATACGCTGGCTCTGCGTTAGCACTGTGCGACGACGACGCGAGAGTGCTGTATCCGCACACTGGCGCCCTCCTGCTTCTGGCGCCAGCTGTCTTCATACTTGCTGGTGTGGCGCATGCCACCCCGTCTTCGACATTGATTGTAAGGTGACAAGGAGGGTGATACGGATATGTGGATTGAGTGAGTGAGGAGGGGAGACTTACCTGTTGCCGCTGTCGACATTGTGTGCTGCTGAGTTGTCTTCATGAGAGATCTGTGCTTATGTGGCACCCTGTTGTGATCGGATCTTGTTGGACTCGTTACTGGGACACTGTTTTGCTGACTTGGATGAGGGAGACACCCAAAGAAGAAGTGGGATTGAGGGAGTTCTATCTAAATGTACCATTGATGGATACTTTCTCTTCCAACCTCTAAGTCTCTTCTCCCTCCTTCCTGCTTCGTCCCATGGTTACAAGACATTGTATCGTCGATTACATCTCAGGATTATTGGAGACCTTTCTTGGCGCTGAGTTATATATCTCGTATCTCAGCATTTGACGAGTTTCCTCCAGACTGGGTTCATTACAAATCAGGAAATTACAGAAAAATTCAGGAATGTTTGTGAACGACTACTGCTACTAGAGTAAAATTTACTGAATACTTCCAATCAATCAGAAAGTTTTACGCAATTCGCAGAGCATGAAGACTACGGGAAGCCCATGATGTCTAGGAGTCAAAGAGTCGAACATTTCTTAGGAGTCCACCACAGCCACAGATTACACACAACCCTAGGGCTCATTACAGTCTGTGGAAGCTTCTGGGGCTCACCAGGTCAGGGCAAACTGGCCGCAATATATCTTTTCTTTAGGAAAAACAAGGCTCCAATATATTGGTGGGGAGCTGCACCTGCTGGAAACCGGTTCCTGCATCCCATCAAATCGAATGTGAACATGATTGAGAAATATTTACACGACGGGCAGCATTGATTACCCTTTGAAGGTCAAAGGGGATAGACTGCCCTCGTCCAAAAAGCTCACCACTGTGAGCTAATCCACATGGACTCATAAAGGATGCACCAATGCCATACTTATTGGTGACAAAACTTCATAGCGACTGTTGACAATTGAAAGCTGAGATGGCTGGCAGAACACGCAATTATTGGCTGTCCCTCCACACCCCACAAGGCGCAGGGGGTGATCAACGCCTATCCTGCAATATATCTTGGCCAAACAGATTGGGAAGTTTCTGCCACACAAGGAGGCAACAAGAGGCAGGCCAAGCCAAAGCAAAGCAACAAATGCTGGGCCTGCCACTAATTGTGCATTCATCCATCTTTGAGTTATTTTGAGGCTGGAGCACTGCTTCTTGAGTGTCAGCGCTGGACGAAGGCAGGCAGACAGTGAGAGCGATAGTGAAAGTTGTCATAGCTAGGATAGAAGGCACGCACACACCATAGCTTAGCATAAGAGTGTGTGGTTTGAAGGCAACTATGTCCCGTAGTGTGTGTGTGTTACGTTTTCAAGGCGAGGCTTCCACGACCGTGTCGCGACATGTTGCGTCACAATCCACGTTCTATGAACAACACCACTGAAAGAGCCACATCACGATCCGGGGAAGCAATATGAAAGGCAAACTGGCAAAGGAAAGAACGAAAGGCCTTAAACCGTTCCATGACCGGCAAGCATACAAGTCTCCGGTAAGCAGGATTACATGTGCAGCACCCCTTGTGCATAATCTGCAGCTGGAGGAGCAGATGCCCAGTGGCATTTCGACTGAGCTTGTTTCTGGCCTTGCCGGGGACGAATACGAAAGCACTGAGAAGATTGGAAAGGATTGGAAAGTGGGCAAATATCCGGTCAAAAAGTGCTTGGGCTTTTCAGGAGAACCTGCACTCACGACTCCTCGGAGTCTTCACTGTGCACCTCAGGAAACCGTGTTCTGTTCACACTCTGCTACCAACAACCTCACCCCTAGCACCTTCCATTTCATCCCCTAAATAAACTCCTACATTCATTGCCCCTTCATTCAAACGTTTTCTCAAACTCTTCAATCGACTTGAATAGATATGTGAAATTTCCCTTGCCAAACCCTCCGCAACCGCCTCTCTGCGCAACTTTGCCGTCTTGGTCCACCTCCATACAGCCGACACGTTGAATGATCTCGAGGAAGATCATTGGCCGGTCGCCGACTGGCGTTGTGACGATCTGCAGCAGCAGTCCCTGATCGTCCTTGTCGACTAGAATGCCCAGTTCTTTACATTGCTGTAGCTGCTCCGGCGTAAGGTCCTCCCCGAACTTCTCCGGCAGGCACTGATAGTACGCATCTGATGCTCTGGGCATGAACTCAAATCCTCCCATCGAGCTCCTCGCTCGCATCTCCTTCAGCGTATGAAAGATGTCATCGCATGCAAGGGCAATATGCTGGACCCCAGGCCCTTCATTGTGTTCCAGGTACGTTTGGATCTGGGACCGCCGCTTCGTCCCAAACGTTGGCTCATTGACTGGCATGAGCACCATCTCGTTGTTGTTTGCCATCACCATGTTGTTCAGTCCGCTGTCGACGGTTCCAACGTCCGCTGCAATAAACTCGGCAAACTCGTGGAAACCTGTCATGTTTGCAATGTACTGGACTGCAGGCAGAAGCTCGGGTACATTGCCAACAACATGGTCAATCCTGGTCAACCCAAGTGTGCAAATGGGTGCCTCCACAGGTCGGTAGTTGGGAAGGAAGGGACCTTGAAAGGGCTTGAGACCTTCTTGCGGCGGCTGCTCGTCATCCGTGATCTTTTCATCAGAGGGCATCTCAGGGGTGCTCACGTAACGAAGCACAACATCTCCGTACAGCACCACCTCCGAGATGTCCATCACTCCACCCGTGGTTGCATCAACAAGACGTACGGGCTTGAGCATGCCAATGCCACCATGCTTGGTGCTCTCTTCATAGGCGGTCGCTGCATCCCCAACAAGAAGCCCAACAGCAGCCACGGCTACTCCGTGCTTGTCAAAGAAGGAACGCGCATTCTCTGGGTTGAAGTGAGGATGCGGAACAGCTGGTAAGCCATCTTGCCCTTGCTCCACTGGGGCAAGCTCCTTGGCACATAACTGCTTGGAATAGGGTGCTGTGAACACAAAGGTGATGTCGCCAGATTGGAGCACACGACTGCTGTAAAGGTGATTACCCGTCGTGAGGTTCGACTGCGAGGTTTCACGCATGCCTGTCGCCCATGCAAACCTATGACTCACATTGAGAGCATCACCGCAGTAAAACTCCACATGGTGGAACCCCTTCACCACGAACCGGTCCGACTTCGGGTTCTCCCTGACAAAGTTCTTATGTCCCACCAGCTTCTGTGGGACTATCTTCATTGTATCCGCACCCAGAGCTGGCTTGAGTGGGTCCTGTGAGGTCAGGGACTGAGTCTTGCTGCTGAGTACGAGTTCGCTTGTCCTCGTTTCTGTGCCTCCATTTGCCGTGCCGTTCCCAGATGGTCCCATGCTTGTCGACAGAATCGGGAATGTCGAATGAGCTACAGCAAATGAGATTTTCAAGAAGCAAAAACACGAACTACTGTGCCTTTTTCTGATGAATTAGCAGTAGACGATTGGACCTTGCATCTGTTATGGTCAGTCTGCGTCTGGACCTTGCATCGGCTCTCGTGAGTCTGTGGAGACACAAAGCAAAACAGGAGAAAGGACAGGACTTTCTGGTAAGATGTTGCTGTTTGTTGATTACTGTTTATTTTTCCTTTTTGAAAAAGGGCGGAGCTGACCGGCCCCAGGTAATCCAAAATGATGTTATTCTGGGCATCTGATTTTTAACAGTTTGTGGGTGTACCAACGATCTAGCTGTCGATTTCTGTTCAATTTAATATTTATAGACACACATGATACCTTTCTCGGCATTTTGGCTAAGATCAAGTGTAGCAGAAGTAAAATGGAGTGGGGATAAACCGGATGGGGATCAGAATTTGGAGGGTATAAGGAATTACTGTTTGGTGTTCAAGGACTGGAGTCACTGGACTAACATCGAACCTTCCTTCCCACTTCGTCCCCCAACAGATTTCCCCGACCCTTTTTCTCCTCACGCCCTCTCCCTAGCAGAAATTCTGTTGTAAAAACAACAAGGTCGTGCCCCGGTTCCCACACTTCTATTACCTGCTCAGTCAATCCCCTGATGATAAGGGTAATCAATGCTGGCAGGTCGATACAGTCAAGTTCATTTTCCGATTTATAACGGAAGTACAGCAAAAAAAGGATGAACATCTCCTGCAATCCGGATCTGAATCCGGCCGGAGTTCTGGCCGGTTTAGAGAAGGACGGGGAGACGCGTGGTCCCACTGGTGCACCCCAGTGGTCCCAGTGTGTCTCCATGCCAGGGACACGAGAACTGGTTTCCAGCGGTGGGAGATTGATATACCATAGATGCCCTTTACAGCTGGAGTAGAGAAGGTCGACATCAGCAGCGCCCTTCAGCAACCTGCTCAGTTAATCCTCTGGAATCCAGAGTAATCAATGCTGACAGCCTTTTTCCAGATAGTAATTTCTTTTTCCTCCTGCAAAGTTCTCTGTATTTTCTGATTCATTCTGTACAAGGAACGCTGGACCCGTTTTCCAGCAGGTGATGCTCCCCACCAATAGATGGAGTCTCTCCCCAGGTGATAGCGGTGTCTGCTCGTACCAGCACCACTGGCACTAGAGAGAGTGTTTATCAAAAAAAAAAATAAAAAAAAATATATATATATATCGTCAAATGAGTCGGTGAAACTCCGACGAAACAGTTTGTCACAGCCCCTCGTTTGTTGTCCTCTTCTCCCTCTCTGCCTACGGTTTACCGGGCAGTTCTATTTGACGATATATGTTTGTGACGATATATGCTACGACTTCGCTAGCTTCCTGCTACGGTTTTTTCCAGTCAGGTCGAGCGGCAGTGGTCGGGGCCGTTACTAGGCGGCCATGCTGTGCCTCTAGTGCCAGCGGCGTGTCTGGAGTGTATTTTTTGGCTG